CCTATTAACTGAGAAGTCTTTAGCTTCAGTCTTCTTAGTTGAAATTTTGACTTCCTACCATGCTAAGCTTTTTCCATAACAGTGTCTTTGTCATGTGTGATGCCCCCACTGCTGCTCTTCCTGGAAGACTTACTGACAGAAGAATTAAATTCAGAATGAATGGTGTCTGAGGCAGAATTGACATGATCTATCTTTTCATAAGTAATTAAAAATATTGAGAAAAATGACTGCATACCCTCAGGTCCTCCAATAAGATGGCAGTTTGGGATTTTGAGGTTTGACATATTCTGAGAGAGTGCATCCCAATTCCAACCTGAGTAAATGTCCAAATGAGCTGATTGGGTGTGCACCATGTGAATCCACTGCACAGCTTGTCATCCCATGTTCTGAAAATCAGTGAACCACACTTGAATGTTCTCTCCCAGCATGTGCCCATAGAGTGGGTTCATACAATCAGGGTCTAACACCAATAAAACTGCCAGGTGCTGCATGGCAATGCAATTGAATTGAAATTGAGGAATGTAAGTGCATAGTGTGATGGGCAAAGAAGGGTTGATAGAGATGGAATGTGCTGCTGTGCATGTTATGACTTGCACTACACAGTGTAGTGCCCACCATAATGAGGTGCCAGTGGCAGGGTCGAGCATGTAAAAAAGCTGGCTCTTAGGAAGTGAAAGAGTGATGAAATTATTGGCAATGAGTGACCAAAATCCTTATGAACTGATATGGTTGCTTATTAAAGTCTTCTGTCAGGGAGCAAGCTAACATTCCATATGCCATCAGACAGAATTCTGTCTATCTTCTGAGGACATTCTGTCTCTTCCCCATGCATGAATAAGTGGATGCATGGTATAAACACCTTTGGATGAAACCAGTTTGACCAGGTTAAAAGACAGTGGTTTCTGCACGGGAGGAGGCCGTTGTGTGACTGCTGTTTCTTCATGTTGTGGCACCGAAAGGCAGGGTTGGGGTTGTAGAGCAGCCCCAGGTGAGCCTCCCACGTCGTGATCTGAGTGGAAAGAGAGGGGCGAGCACCATGAAAAGATGGAGACAAAGGAGGTTTCTGTGGTAGAGAGCAAGATGACGGCCACAACAAATGCCATGAGAAGATACTGATTCCTGTATCGGTAGCGGCGCGGCCTTGTCAACCAAGCCATTTTCTTGGCCAATCAAGGTTCTCTAGAGAAGAAGGCTTTCAAGGGGTCACCCACAAGTGTGATACATTTGAGACTGACTCTTTGGCTTCTCAGTGCCCTCTTTATTCCTCCTCCCTAGTTCTCTGAAAACGTTTAGCTCAAAAGCCAAGCTACCTGGCTTGGATGCCGTGTGTCTTGAACATTTGAACGCTTGAGCAGGCCTTGTGATGTGCTGTGGTGTGAAGGACCCGGCAATTGGTCACCCATTTATATTTGTGGTCAATGGCAACGATCTTACCAGAACGCCAAGTCCCGACCTTCTGAACAAAAGGGGATTATTCATGCCCTGAAGATCATTATGTTTTGTATTTGCTGCTGTTGTCTATTCATTATTGGGTGACTTTCCATAACACAAATTCTCTAGATTTGAATAAATCGACGAAATCTAGGGTCCTTTGCTGGGATGCTGAGTCTTGTAAGGGTTTGACTCTGATGGAGTCCCTGGTTGGAACCCAGTTACAAACCTTAATCTATTCAGAGGGTACAGACCCCTCGAACAGATTTCAAACACTGGAATCAACCCTGCCAAGGGGACACCTTTCCTTCCTGGGTATGATTCCTTCCCACATGGCTTAGTCAGCTCTACCTCATCCCCTACTACTCTCCTAGGGCTGGGGCATTCTGCTCCCTCTCGTTGCAGTTCAAAGCCACTACAGAGTCTATTAGAAGTGTCAATGTCTTATGGCTACAAAATCCCCTCCCGGAAACTGTTGCTCCCTTTACAAACACCCTTCTTGACACCTAACTCACTGATCCACAGCCATGTTCAGCTCAACTTGGGATTTTTTGGGCTTCACCCAGCATGTGGTCTAATTTTACAGCAGGGTGGATGAACAATCAGTATAATAAACCCATCCACGGGCCTACACGGCCTCAGAGCAGCTCAGATGGGAGGAAAGTGAGTTTGTACAAGGCAAGCAAATACATCAAATAGAATCTAATCAGTTGGCGTTACGGTTTATTCACTCCAATAAACTCTCCTGTGAAGTTCTCATTTCAAACTCCAATAAGGGTCAAATTTATTCATTTTTATAGATTTGAGTGACGGAAAGTCACCCATTCAATATTCACTGGTGCACCTCAACCATTTATACACATTCTCCTTAGCTTGGAGGTGCTCGACATTTTCAATGTATGATTAAGGCATTTTTGAAGAGTCGGAATGGTTGTATTTCTTTCTTTCTGTCGCCAGCATCAGTAATTGAGCAAATCAGTTTCCATGGGTTTCTCAACCCTGGCAACCTCCGAAAACCACTAAAAACCTCGAAACATTGAAAAATATCGAAACTTGGCAACCTATGTATCCTTTGGTGGAAACCCGCCGCCCAAATTGCGTAAGATATACATGATCACTAGTCCCTGACCAGAGAAACCCTTAGACTACTGTACTAATATGACCACGTCTTCACATCATGCATCACAAAGGGTTGTGAAGGAAGGGAAGTAGGCGTGATGTCATGCATCACACCAAGTTTTGAAGAGTTTTTTTTTTTGAATTAAAAATAGTCATTTTTTTCCGGACCTGCAGTGCTTTGTTTTAAACATCACATTTGGCATATTTAGAACCATGTTATACCCAGCTAAAAAATTGACAGGTTGCTGGGCCAAACCATCTGAGAAATATGTGGTGGGTGAAGAGCAAAAACTCTTCATCACGCATCACACAGGACAATGAAGTGACGAAGAGATGGTCAAAAGGTGTCACACCCCAAAGGGCCTGAACAGTTGGTCGTATTAGTACAGTATTCCTTTTCGGGTTTCCGGAAACCCCGGCAACTTCCAAAACTAGTAAAAACCTGGAATCTATTTTGCCATGTTACTGATGAGCTCAATGAATTACTTACTTGTAATTTACAGCTTGTAACTTGTAAGAACGTGAAAGACCGGGGCCGAGCCCTCCAATGTCAACTGCTTGATACATATTTTATGTTCACCTTATCTTCAATTACTCTGTCAGTGTACCAGTTCAATCACCTGGGTGAAAACTGGGTTTGACTCCCAATCAGAGATTTCAGTTAGTATTTCAAAGTGTGTTTTTAATTTTTCGGTGACGTGCATCCTGGCAGGCGCCATTTCCAATGCATGCCATACACTGCCAGTTCTCTATGAGTCTTTGTTCGTATATTGACTAGTACATGTGCCCACCGTGACGAATGGATGCTCGAGTCAAGACACGCAAAAGCTGGGTTCAATTCCCAGACAGAGAAGAGCCTTGTGAAGAGCTTTTTGATTTTCTGAGTGGGTACACTGGCATGCCTTTCAGGCAACTAGATGCTGGATTTGAGGAGCGGGAAATTGTTTGGGAAACTTTTGTTTTCCGTTAGTACATAAAACACATCTCTGCTGGATGTGACCCGCAGAAATGTTTTAGAGATAAATATGATTTTCTCCTTGTTTGATCAATGGTATGGTTTCCTTACTTACACCTATTATATAGAACGGACACTCCTGATAAAGTATTTGAGTCTTGAATCAGTTTTGTGGTGCATGAATATTTGACAACTCTCAAACAGAGCTTCAGGCAGATAGAATTTCTGACTTATGATAAATTTTGTTTTTCATTGGTACATGCCCCAGCCATTTTATTTCTATCAGAAGGTTTAAATAGTGTATCTCCAATGCTGGATGCCCAGTAAATCATTTTCTCTCATATGACCTGCTGAATATATTACCTGCCTAGGCCTATTAAAATCTTTGTTAGTACATTGGCCAGTGAGGCCATCAGAAGCAGTGACACGCGAAATCTGGGTTCAACTCCCAGACAAAGATGTGTTGTAATATGAGCCAGATTTATATGTTTTCTATTTTCCCCCTAAGTACTTGACTTGGTGAGAATTCGAAACTGTCTCTCTAGAGCTGAATGGGACACCCTATATACTTGAAAAAATGTTGATCCCCCTGGTGATTCGCTTACATACAGCTATTAATGAATTCGCCTACTAAGTAAAATTCTTGTTAGTACATCGGCTGGTACATGTAGACAATGGTGACGTGCGAAAGCTGGGTCCAACCCCAAGGCCAGACATGAAGATAGTTCTCAAATTTTTCTTGGATTGTAAGTATAACAAGTCTAGACTTGGTTCCCCAATACTTACCAATATCTGGGGGTCTTTGTTCTTTGAGAGGTATGTTTAGGCAATTTATGGAGTGGGTTGACAAGGGAAAGATTTTTCGTCATTTGGACATGAGCCAATGGGAAGCATCGGATCTATCTCATCCTTACTCAGTGTATATATACAAGTGAAGCCAAACAAATTTTCTTTTTGAACTTTGTGACCCAAAAACCCCAAAACCTCGTGCACTCAGGCTGTTGTGATTTCACGCCTAGTACAACACCAGACAGGTTTGTGATTGTGCCATTTGTTTTCTCTAAAAACTCCAAATTTTAAAAGCAGTGTAATTTGGCAAGGATCTTCAAGGATTTACTTAATTGGCCAGGGTCGCTCTAAGGTTGCTCCACGTTCCTGTAAACTTGTCCAACAGTGTCACTTATTTACAAATGTGGACCTCACTTTTGAGCTCTGAATTTGGTGCGTCTTTTATGTCACTCGTTGGATATAAAAGCGAAAATTTTGAACTTTTTCTGGCAGCGACGCTGGCCAAACCAAACGGAAAGGAAAGAGATTCCAAAAAGTTATTTATGTAACAGTTGGCTTCATTGCAGGTTAGGAATGCCAAGACACAGAAAGGTGACTATGACACTCCACAACTAACTATCTTCAGCCACAAAAGAAGCACACTTGGGAATCTGCCTGGAACCTGTACTTAACTCCATGACAGGTCCAACGCTCGTTGCTCCTGCCCATGTGGTTGTCCCCACGAATAAGAAGAATCCCCTTGGTCATCACCTTTCTCATCGTACTCCCTGTCTTTTTCGTTCTTTACCAGGAGTCACGCTCGCTCTTTCTGTTCTACAACATCCATCCCTACCCAAAATTCCGCGATGGAGCACGCAGTTCATGGGTGCCAGTGCCTGAACGTGCCGCAGAGGCAGACAAATGGAACCAGCCTGGCTGGTGCTGTCCGTATACCTCACCAGCCGATGGGGGACCCAATGAGAAGGACAAAGAGAATAATATCTGGAGAGCAAGATCGGTCGCTTCGTGGGAGTGGGTATTGGAGGATGGGAAACCAATGAGGGCGTGGGATGCTGAAGCGTTCATCGGGTGCGCACTCAAGAGTTGTGGGGGGGTGGTAGTTATTGGAGGTATATCTTAACTTTTGGTTGCTTTGTAAACAAAATTTTACACCTTTCATCTACAGATTCAGTGGCAGTCCAAATGTTGTACAGACTTGAAACACTTCTTGGCACACATCGCAGAGATTGGCCATGGACGATTGCTCAGGATACAAAGGTCGATGATAAAGGGATGTACCTTCTCTCCTTGACACTCACCCTGGAGCCTGCAAACCCATTTTTCAAAAAGCTTCTTGCAAAACCCTCGCTCGCATCGGTGCCTCGATCACGATTTTATCAACCTTTCCTCACCTCCTACCACTCAGACGTCCTCATGGATGAATCTGCACTCAACATTACAATGACCAAAGCCGGAATGATGGAGACTTTGAACCCTACACATCATATATCCAAGGGCGATCAGCGTCAAGGTCTGTGGAATGCCAGTAAGGAAGAAGGATGGCCCTGGGAGCGCGATACTATTGTGGTCCTCAATAGTGGCCCTCATTGGACAACTTGACCCCTTCATCCTGTGACAGACGAGCACGTTATCAAAGGTTATACCACAACGGTACGTTGTTAATCCATGCACCCACCTACATTGGACAACTTGACCCCTTCATCCTGTGACAGACGAGCACGTTATCAAAGGTTATACCACAACGGTACGTTGTTAATCCATGCACCCACCTACCACTAACAACATTACCACATTCAGATGGCTAGTGTACAGGAATTTTTTGCCAGTCTGCTGCCCATGCCTATAATGGCATTCGTCCGTGCTACAGTGGCCGCGCACCAAAACTGTAACGTCCACTCAAGCCCAGTACCTGCCAACTCGACTACAGCATCTGATCCTGCTCC